CTTTTGTGTGACTACAATTTCATTTTAGATCGATGCCCTGCAGATGCGGCCGTTGCGTTAGCTTACCTTCGGCAGGATATCGCCTTGCCCAGGACAGCCTCAAGACTTGGGAAAGCTTACTCCCGAACATGACGTACCGCAACCCCGGTCTGACCTCTTTCGAGCAGTTGTTCGCGAGCAGTTTATAAAGTCATGTTCATAGAAGTTTCGCTGGTTACTCGCCATCGCCTGCATCACTAAGCGCACCAAAAAACTCAAAATACGTTTTAGCCACTGAAACGCGAGATGACAGGGATGATGCATACCTTCCCGCCACGACGTCGTCACCCTGCCGTTCTCCCGATCATCTTCCTCTCCAGTCTTCTGCTCTCCTGAACTTCAAAATTACGACGCCTGCCCACTTTGTTTGACGCTTACGGGGTGGGCAAACCCTCAATTCACCACGTAACCGCGGAGCCTTCCTACTTCCTCTCAGCAATACAGCCCCCGGGCACCCTCAGGAACGAAACATCAAACCTCGAATCCCGCAAAGATACGCTGGCCACGACCATAATCCACAGTACCTCCTGGAACCACATACATAATGAGAGTCATACATTCGGATTCAGGTTCAAGCCTGCAAACCAGCGATTTCTTCGATATTCGCGCACTCACAAAGCCGAGGGAGTGCCAAAGCGCCGAACAGGAGAAAGAAGGCGGTATGCGCCCAGCTCTAATTCATTGCGCGCAGTAAATGGTTTACTGATGTCGGTCCAGTCAGCAAAACACCTCTATTCGACGGCCACGGCCTCACATTCCATCACCTAGGCCTCATCATTTCCGCAGTTTTCGGTGCGGCAGCTGTTGTTATAGCGTTTTTCCTTATATGGCGGCATGCCTCCCATTACCTCAAAGCAGCCGAACAGAAATAGTATGTTCTCTTGATCCTTACTTTGAAGTAGTCTTCTAACAGATATAGTATAATTCGCATACTCGTTATGATCCCTATCTACGCCGTTGTTTCCTTCCTATCCTACGTGTACTACAAACATGCCATATATTACGAAGTACTCCGAGACTGTTACGAGGCCTTTGCGATTGCGAGTTTCTTTACGTTAATGTGCCACTACATTGCGCCCAACCTCCATGAGCAGAAGCAATACTTCAGGAACATCGAGCCGAAGAATTGGGTATGGCCAGTGAACTGGATGCAAAAGTGTACAGGGGGTGAAACCAAGGGTATCTTTCGGAAACCACAAAGTGGATTAACTTGGTTTAATGTGCGTAGTTACTCTTTAGACGCCATCTTGACTCCACACTGACCTAGTCTAGATTGTGTGGATTAGCGTCTTCCAGTACTGCTTTGTGCGCCCGTTTTTCACTGTCGTCGCTGTTGCTACGCAGGCAAACCATCTGTACTGTCAAAGTTCGAAGGATCCTCGATATGCGTACATATGGGTTGCAGGGTTTGAGGCCATCTCAGTTACCATCGCCATGTATTGCCTGATTCAGTTTTATGTCCAACTGAAGCATGATTTGGCTCCATACCGACCATTTCTTAAAGTCCTTTGCATAAAACTCGTCATTTTCTTCTGTTTCTGGCAAAGTTGGATCATTTCTCTTCTAGCAACACCCAACGGACCTCTAAAAGCAACCGCCAAAATAGCGGGCCCTGACTGGAGGGTTGGACTTCCTTCCATGTTGGTTTGTTTTGAGATGGCAATTTTCGCAGTTCTGCACCTTTTCGCTTTTCCTTGGAAACCTTATGATCTTGGGAAGCGGCAGGATACCATTAATGGATTTCCAAACGAGGAACCCAAAAATTACGTCTCCGGACCACTCCGTGCCATCGTCTCGGCCTTCAATCCTTGGGATATCATCAAAGCATTCGGTCGTGGAATGCGATGGCTTTTCATCGGTGTGCGACACAGGAAGAACGACATATCTTATCAAACTAAACTCGACTCAGTGTCCTCCGAGACTGGGTACACTTCAGGTCCGACATTTGCCGGAAACGGGGAAGCAGCTACGGAGATTTCACGGCCGGCAAAGACTCCAGCACGGGCAGGAACGGATGGATTTGAAGATTCAGACACGGTGGGACTGCTAAACACTCATGCTACTCTTTACACACGCCAGAATTCATATCCGGTACAACATGGTGGATCCAACATCTACGCGAATCCAGCCAATCCGGACAGCCTCCCGTCTGCGCCGATGCCTGGGCAGGAATACGGAGTGACGGGACCAACACAAGCGCGCTACGATGATTTTGAACATGGGGATACAACCTATCATGGGGCGGGCCAGAGTTTGAATCCTGCACCTTTTCCCCAAGAAAGTATCGGCCGACAGAGGACTGAATGGGACATGTTTGCAGGTGTTACCAAGCCTGTAGACCATTCGAATGGACCACTTGGAAAAATTTGATTTTGCTAGATGAAGCGCGGCGTTCAGGGTTTGAATGGTCCAAATCATTAATTGTTCGGTCTGCATCAACTTGGTTTTCCCGAGTTATGGCGTTGGAAGGCTCAATTGAGGTCACCCAAAACATCGGTGATCCGTTTGCATTTGGTTGGATACCCCGGCGAACTTTGAGCGGATGTTTAAGTCATTGGTCCAAGGTGGAACATTGGTGTGTAAGATACAAAAGAACTTTGCATTGTTTGAGCTACGTATTTACAGTTGCTCTGATCGTCTCGTTAAATATCTACGCCTGCATCCGACCTCGTTGCGCCCCGTCCGTCCGCCCATCCGTCCTGTGCCGTATCTGTGCCAGCAGAAACATAGCTGAGATATGCGGCATCTTCAACTCCTCTTAACCCAAAAACTCCTGACATATCGTTGGTTGTAATCAACTATGTTCAGCGCCGCCATCCGCAAGGACACCACTCCGCAACGCAATCTTTGTTGGCTGGGGCGTGGGTTCTGTTCCCTTCGTGTGCAGTTCTGGCGCGCGAATCCTTCTTCCACCTATCATGGCACGGCGTTTCTTGCTTGGCTTCTTTCTCCTAGAAGGAAGGAAATCCATCACTGCACCTCGTAGACCTGCATCGCTCTCTCGACATCCCTCAAACTCGTCCTCTCGCCATAAGCGTCCTCTAATCGGCTATTTCTCTCTGCGGAATCCATGGTTGCCGCTCGCTCCATCTGCTCGAAGGCTTTCTCGATGTCTTCGAGTGTCGAGCGTGCTCCATAGGCATCCATTAGGAGTTGGTTCTTCTCTACCTGGGTCAACTCGCGCTTCTTTTGGCTGAGATTAGTCTCAGAGAGGGCATTGGAGATGGCGAAGCCTATCGTGCGATTGGCGGAGTCCAGGGTTACGGTCCTAGGGCTCCGAGTGGTGGTGGCTGGGCTGGTGAAGAGCGCGTCGGGGAGATAGATCATACCGACGGCTATCAGGGCCATAGTCGGGAGGTACCTGGGTGTACTGTTAGTGTCGAGTATGTAGGGAGGAGGGTCAGGGGTGAGACTTACCATTTTCCTACTTTTCCGAGCTTGGGAACGGATGAGTTGGATGCGGAGAAATGTGTTGGTGGAAGCGATGATAGTGGGGAGGAGATGGTTGCTCGGGCTCGGGTAGTGGTGGCGAATGATCGCTGGAAGATTCGGGCTGACATTCGTGGAGGCATTGTTATGATGGTAGATGGGATGTCAAGGGAAGATTGTTGTTGATGTTGTTCGATGAGCTTGTTATATCGGATACGATGAGGAGGTAAGCTTTCACGGGCCTCTTATAGGATTGATTGATAGATAAGGGAGATTTGTGTAGTTGGTGGTTCGTTTATGATGTGCGGGTTAATCTACGCAAGTGATACTCGTCTGCAGCAGCCTTTCGTAGAAAATAGATTGAAGATGTAACGTCTTGTACGTCGGAAACCCTCGACCCCAAACGCGCGGGCGAACGAGGCAAATATACCTCCATCCAATTGGCACTGCCCAGTTCAGTGTCTCCAGACAAGACAGCCAGGTAGGCATCATTGACGTGTGCCACCTCCGCACCCCCTCTCGCCCATCACGAGCCAGCAATGCCACTTTCACCCCACCCAAAGCGCTTCATCTCCGCCGCGGGCAAAGCAGGTGCAGAGGTACGTATAGCTTAGGGAAAAGTCACACCACCAATCATCATCACCCACTTCTCCGCATTTCCTCACATGACAAGCCTCCAAGCCGTCGCATTCTCGTGTCTGAGTGCCCGACTAGGCCGCTTCCAAGACGAGCGGAGGACGCTTGGGAAGTGCTCTGACGTACGGCGGAGAGAACGCGACGTCGCGGCCAGGACAGTCTTCACAACTGAGTGCTTCTCGGCCGCGCATGTATCGCGGTAATGTAGACACGGAGGTGCGTGCACTGCCCTGGAGCACTGGAAGATTACTGCGTCGGGTTGGAATTGAATAGGCTAAGGGCGAAAGGTGCGGTAGCTCCCGCGGCAAGTAATTGTTTGGGTCCGGAAAGGTGGAGAGATAGAGCCGCAATGAAACAGGTGAGGTGCTGTGAGTGTGGTGTGATGTTCTGCCGAGGTTGGTGATGTTTTCGGCAGTAAAGAGTGCGCAGCCCGCCCCATCAGCAACCAGGTGATATTGACGTATTGCTCAATTGACTAGGCATACATGATGCTTACACCAGTTCAATGGTAGAGATATAGGATATCGTTATGTGGTGATATGCTGTCTTCAGTCACAAATCATGAAATAGTCATGTGCCCTGTTGGACGTGTGGGGAAGCGAGACGTGAAACAACATGGGATACCGCAATTCGGGGATATACCACGAATACTCGTCTTATCGGACATCTAAGCAAAAAAAGGAAATGATGTTTGTGAAGTTTGACATGATTGTTGGTAAGTATTCTTTAGGAAATTCTTCATCCAGCTTGGTCCAAGCGGTTATTCCCGGTTACCCAAATCAGAAGTTTTGATTTGGATGTTGATAGCTGCTTAGCGCCAGACCTTTTGTCCCTATTGGAATCTTAGATTGAACCCCACAATAATCAACTACAGCAACAAAAAAAGGGCAAAAATCTAGTCACACCGAGGATCGAACTCGGGACCTTATGTGAGCACACACGGTTAAATGTGAGACATACGTGATAGCCACTACACCATGCGACTTTGGATGGAAAATTTTGAGATTGAATACTTTATATTGCAACGTAAAGCAGAGAGACCTCGAGGGTATGTAGAAATCGATCTTCAATATGCATATTTAACCTTCTTTGAAATCAACTTGTTGATGGATACATAACGAGGTGGGGTAGTGGGGTTCACGTCCATTTATTAGTTGATTCGCTAGAATCCTACAGCCTTGGCCCCAATCTTAACAACACTACATCGCAGAGCCTTGCTCAGCAACGACCTAAATCATGTACACCCGTTCTCCCTATAGTTTCGTATCCGCAGTGTTAGTTTTCAACATACACATGCTTAGCGGTGTCATGCTGCAGTTGCCTCTATGCAAGTACTTTAATGTGGCTATTGTCCGCCCTGCTTATCTCAAAACCTTGAGCCATGGATCCACCAGCCTGGAATGATGCTACCAAAGCCCAATGGGGTTACTTTTGGCGGAAGGCGGGAATCAACTATTATAACTTCCCAGATAATAATCCTTCTGAGCCTTTTCTGCGCCTCCTCCACACTGGGTTTAACATAAATCAGCAATGGCCTAATTTCGATGATAATTTTGGTACTGATATCACGAAATGGCAATCCCTGCCTGGATATAACTGTTCTATACGATGCGGCTCAATACTGCACGCAGCAGCGCGTAGAGGAAACGTCAAGCTCTTGGAGTTGCTACTAGCGAAAGGTGCGGACTTGAGAGTGAAGAGCTTGGATGGATCAACACCGCTATTCGAGTCAATCCTCGTCTCTAACAAAGAGGTTACTTCAGCGTTGGTCAAACATGGTGTCAACGTCAAGAGTAGAATTTTCGCCGATTTCCCATACGGTGATGCTGTTACAGCAATTCAGCTTGCATGCAAGATGATGGACCCTGAAACAGTTAGGTTGCTCTTGCAGAATGGCGCAATTGCAGACTTGGGGTGTGTCGAAATTGCTCTTTCCAACGAAGACTTTAATCTACTCCAAGTCATTTTACGAGCAGGAGCTCCTCTAGACTTTTCATCTGCTAAAATACAAACTGCTCGAGCTAGGACGAAACGAAAAGGTCAACGAACCTTGCATCGCTTACTCTCCGGCACTTATTCTATATCTGAGTTCATCAATCTGAGTTCAAAAGAAGTCAAGAACGCGATGGAAGAGTCCGAATGCCCTCTCGGTCCAACCATCAAGAAATTACGCATGAGCTTGAGAGGATGGATTGATCGACGAACAGAAGAACCTTTTCTTTCGAGAGATGTGTTATGTGCTCGGTGCGTAAAAGTTGTATCAGATGAGCCCGTTACTATCTACGACGCGGAAAAAATATCTCTAGTTTCGTGTCCTCTTTGCCGTCTTATATTTGATAAGAAAAAACACCATTGGGCTGAGCTCCAAAATGTTTCAATGATGCCGTTTAATCAAGAAAAAAGCGATGCCGGACCTGATTGGCGCACTATTTACGATAAGTCAACTTTGACTATCGGGTGGCCCAGAGGTTTGTGATGATACTTCTTGTACTATTCAACATACTAACCTGTTAAAGGAGAACTAGAGACGGTCCTCTTGAAACTCCAGGATTGTAAAGATACAGGTACAGAAAGTGAAGGAACAATGGCGCTGGCCCGTTCTTGGTTGCTTAATTGTATCACAGAACACGACAAATGCTCCGCCTCAATGACTGATTTACCCCGTTTGCCCACAAGAGTTATTGACGTTGGAAACGACCTTCAGGACCCTCGACTTTTTGTCACAAATGAAAAGCCAGGCGTATACGCTGCTTTGAGTTATTGCTGGGGCAAACAACGTTTCATCCGTACTGAGATTTCCACCTTACCACTTCGCCAAGAACGTATTGGCTTAGATGAATTGCCAAAGACACTCAGAGAATCTGTATTGATATGCAGGCAACTCAGCATACAATACATTTGGATTGATGCCCTTTGTAAGCATTTTCTTCTCCAAAGTCTTACGGAACAAATTCTAATTTCATATCTCCATCGTGCTTAGGCATTGTGCAAGACGATGCCGATGATTGGGCTCGAGAATCTCAAAAGATGGCTGCGATCTACCGCAACGCTCTTGTGACACTCATTGCCTCTAGCGCAAATGATACGACAGAAGGTTGCTTCCAGCCACGCGATAGAAACAGAATCTGGCCAGTGAAGATACCGGATGTATTAGATAAGAACAAGCGACATCAAGTACGAGATCATTATCCTCGTATTTATCCAACCACATGGCATTATTCTCAAGACTTTTGGAAAAACCGTCCTACAGAAGATCCAAGTGTTCCCCAAGATAACTTATACGCGTATGCAGACTACAAGACAAGAGTTCAAGGGCCAATCGATACTAGAGCGTGGTGTGCACAAGAGCATTTTATGTCTTCTCGAATCCTTTATTTCTCAAATGAGGTGTACTGGGAGTGCCGATGTTGCTATGCATCGGAATCCCATCCCGGTGGAACCAGAAACCCTATTTTCTTGAACGCCGGAAAGGTTCGTGAAGCTACCTTGAGTACTGCAACTGAGGTCTTCAACAATGATGAGCTGGATGCTACAGTAACGGATTGGGAAAGAGTGGTAGAGCAATACTCAAAACGTCAGATTACAATGCAGAGCGATCGTCTCATTGCTCTTGCAGGCATGGCTACGTTGGTTGGAAAACTAATGGGCTGCGAGTTCCTAGCGGGCGTCTGGAGCGGTAAACAGCTATGTCGAAGTTTGCTGTGGCAAGTGCTTGATCTGGACATTGAAAACGACGAACAAACAAAGCCTGGCCTCCGGAGCGGGCTTCAGCCGCAGCCTCAACCCAGTGGGTCGATAGTAGCTGTAAAGGTGGCGCCTGATAAACAGCTATTTCCGAGCTGGTGCTGGGCATCATGCCTGAATAATTGGAGTCGTATAGCGTTTGGGAGATGGGATGAACCGAAGCAAGCAAACCAAGAGCCCACTAGAACCCCATTCGAGGTCGCAGATGTGATATCTACAAACGTCAGTAACGTCTTCACAAAAGAAGCCGTCCGGGGGAAGATCACTCTGCGTGGGAGATTGAGAAAAATGAGGCCAGTTACAGGTCAAAATGGGGACAGCTTCGATAGTGTGGCTATAAATTTCGTGAGAATTCTCCCTGCAGAAGAAGATGACACGTCTGTTGAACTCCAAGAGAGCGAAGTGGGAGACGAAGTCGATAGCGGGGCGCCAAGTAGCCCACCTCTAAAGAGGTCGATAACTTTCGATGAAGAGGTAACAAACGATACTAGAGAAGGCGCAAACAACTCTTTCGGCACGGGTTTTCCACCACTATTTGGAAACGACCTTTTCTCTGCCCTTGAAAAACTCTCGGTACAACAGAACGCTAAAGAGAAAACACCGGTCCCCATCTCAAAGCGCGACCACTTCTGGATCAAGGATAATTTTGAGTCCTCTCACACAGAGATATGGTGTCTAGCAATAGCATTTTGGGAAGACGACATTATTGGGTTGTGTCTGAAGCAAATAAGCAACGACAATGAATTTTCGCGCATAGGACTATGCAAATTCCAGCGCTCTGGAAATGTTGATTGGGACGAGGATGTTGAATTTGAGGCTTGGAAGACTGCGGAGAAGGCTACGGTGTCGATTATTTAGTAGGCCAGAAATCTCAAGTTAATTTGGAAAGACATGATTCGTAACGCGATTTATTTATGAGCTGTTACTGTAGGAAAGAACCATCCATACAGGCACTTAAATTGGACAGATAGCTCATACTCTCCCACGGCCATACCGGATTTCGCCTTGCAGCAGCCACAGAACAAGCCAATATTCTTTCACACATTACAACATCAGGCTAAAAACCCTTCGAAATGGTTACCGATCATAGAGTAGCACACGCATAGATCTATGAGAAAAGCAACCCCAAAGGCGAAAACCCCCACACGAACACAAGCACAAACACCAAAAGACCCAAAATTCGAAAGTCCTCTCCACAAGCATCGTAACCACAACTTCCGCAGCACCCCACCTCGTTACACCGATCAAAATATTCACCACTTTCCGACGAACCAATCGACCTTAATGAAGTTACGCATCCATTACCTATATGAAAAGGAATGAGAAATCCGGGACACTAGCATTTCTATCAAGGCGGGGCGGGGTTTGGCAGGGTTTGAATTTCTCCATGATTTCGTTGACTAAAATAATAACAATTGTTGCTTCAACCATCACTACACATGACACACCATCATACCACTTGCCCGCCCCGTCTGGCCGCATAGCAAACCCATCACCTGACTGGCTGACTGACTGACATTCCATCTCCACCCATCAGACCACCAACATACGCTCACAAACATCAGAATCAAATCTTAATCAAGCAAGACCCTGCATCTACTCCAATCATCGACTATACCACTCTTCCCAGAAAACCACCCTGTCGCCGCCTCCCTCGCACCAAATCCATGTCTCATTTCCGCCCCCCTCACCCGTTTGATGCTCTCATTTCAGATCTCTGTAATTTCCTCTCCGTGCCGTGAATCGTAATTCTAATGTTCGTTTATATGATATTGAATGATAGTACATTCATCATAGGAATATGAGAAAGCTGTTCCTAGGTAGTAAAGAACATGCTACATGATCGAAATCAATGACAGAATTATTTGCAACCCATGACGACGATGTTAAATGTCAACTGGTTGAGGTTTAGGATCTTCTTAGCAGAGGTGGGTTAACCATGGCTCTGTCGTGCCTTCCACGTGGAGCAATGTGCACATGCTAAACATTATGCTGTGACGTACCAAGGCACTAACGAACAGAGTAACGAAGTCAGAAATGGTTGAATGTAGTTGTAAGGTTTTGAGAATTGATCTATTGACACAGAAAAGGAATACAGAGAAGAGGTCCCCTTATCTGTCTTTGCCCGATAGATTCCGCCATGAAAGAGATCCTTCTAGAGGTCATGCTGTAGGAAAGAGAACTTTGCTATCTCCTTGCAGGCTTGTGGTAGGAGATTGAAGGTGTACCTAGTTCAGCCTT